GATCAGAGCTTCAAACTAAAGCATATGGATCGCTATGGAACTGACAGTCCATCTTTTTCGATCTATCGATCAGCGGATCCTGGTCAGACTAAGGGAGCAAACTCTGTATAGCCATTTTTATATATAATTGTAAATACAAAGGTATAAATATTCTATATGCATAATTTAAATATCGATATTGCTCTTCTTTACAAAAAAAATTCCTTTTGCTAAATGTTTCAATTCATTCACAATCACTGATATCATATGTAGCGGTGGGGTAGCCTAGTGGTTAAAGCGTTCGCTCGTCAAGCCGAAGACTCGGATTCGATACCCCACATGTGTACAATGTGTAAAGCCCATTTTTTGTGTCCTTCTCCGTGATATTGTTGGAATATTGCTAAAAGTGGGGTAAAACTAAACCCCACCTCGTGGATACCAATTAATCAGGTGCAAATGTAATGTACATACATAATGCCTTTGGAACGACATAATAGAATCAAAACGTCTTAACTATATTATTATGACAACTTGTTTCAACGACATCATACTCAGCTAAATAACAACAAAGGAAATGGTGGAATACTTGGGTTTGGGTTTTACGCCGCTTTTAGCAATATTCCAGCAATATCACGGCGAGGGCACCAGAAATGGGCTTCACACACTGTACCCATGTGGGGAATCGAACCCAGGTTTTCGGCGTGACGAGCGAACGCTTTAACCACTATGCTACCCCACCGCCCCTTCAACAAACAAGGACTAATATACATGTACACTGCTACACAATGACCGGCATATTGTTCATTTGTTCGCGAAATAAAGGCCACACGTGTTACAAAGTAACAAAAGAGGGCATTAAACATAAAAGAATGCACACCGCACGAAGCTACACCATCTGTCAAGTTGGATTGTGGACAGCTCATTTGATCCCGCCTCAAACTGGTAGCAAATGTCATAAAAACAACAGGTGCGTCGCAGGTAGTTGTCCTATAGTAGGCTAATATTGTATACTGAGAGGACAGTGTATGATTGATTAACCAGTTGAACATCACGTGTACGGGTCATTAGCTCCACGTGAACATCGGAGTCACAGTACCTTTATTCCAACAGTTGCATCATCATCATCATCATCATCATCATCATCATCATCATCATCATCATCATCATCATCATCATCACCTAAGATTGGCATAGATACATAAATCTGAACATGAAAGTCGCTATACCTTTATACCGACGGTGTCATTATCATCAACATCATCGTTACCACCATCATCATCATAATTACCATCACATACATACATATATACATACATACATACATACACACACACACACACACATACACATACACACACATACATACACACACACACACACACACACACACACACACACATATACATACATACATACATACATACATACATACATACATACATACATACATACATACATACATACATACATACATACTGACATACATACATACATACATACAGACAGACACACACGGTTGCAAACTCGTCTAGTTAGAACTCTGCCACCTGTATATAACATTGAGGACAGCGTTTATAAACGTCGTCTGGTGTTAAGGCAAAGTGGTATTGCTCTGACAATAGTGAGTGAGTGAGTTTAGTTTTACGCCGCTTTCAGCAATATTCCAGCAATATCACGGCGGGGGACACCAGAAATGGGCTTCACACATTCTACCCATGTGGGGAATCGAACCCGGGTCTTCGGCGTGACGAGCGAATGCCTTAGCCACTAGGCTACCCCACCGTCCCGCTTTGACAATAGGTAGGTAGTATAAATCTATATTTATGCGCAGAAAGTATCCTTTTTTTAATCGATATACAGTCAAACACCGTTTTGACGAACTTAAGAGGACCTATGCAACATTTTGCGTTATCAGAGGTTCGACACAACCGCAAAAACATGTAATATGGATTAAGCAGGGACCAAGATTTTACTTCGAGACAAGCATATGTTTAACAGATAAAACAAAAGTGTATACGCAGTAACTAATATCACTTTATCATAAACAAATAGAAATATCCCATCAAACGTTATAGTATCAGTAACGTATCAGTATACGTAATAGTATCAGTAACGTATCAGTATACGTTATATTATCAGTAACGTATCAGTATACGTTATAGTATCAGTAACGTATCAGTATACGTTACAGTATCAGTAACGTATCAGTATACGTTATAGTATCAGTAACGTATCAGTATACGTTATAATATCGGCAACGTATCAGTATACGTTATAGTATCAGTAACGTATCAGTATACGTTATAGTATCAGTAACGTATTAGTAACGTATCAGTATACGTTATAGTATCAGTAACGTATCAGTATACGTTATAGTATCGGTAACGTATCAGTATACGTTATAGTATCAGTAACGGATCAGTATACGTAATAGTATCGGTAACGTATCAGTATACGTTATAGTATCAGTAACGTATCAGTATACGTTATAGTATCAGTAATTATCAGTATACGTTATAGTATCAGTAACGTATCAGTATACGTTATAGTATCAGTAACGTATCAGTATACGTTATAGTATCAGTAACGTATCAGTATACGTTATAGTATCAGTAACGTATCAGTATGCGTTATAGTATCAGTAATTATCAGTATACGTTATGGTATCAGTAACGTATCAGTATATGTAATGGTATCAGTAACGTATCAGTATACGTTATAGTATCAGTATACGTAATAGTATCGGCAACGTATCAGTATACGTTATAGTATGGGTAACTATCAGTATACGTTATAGTATCAGTAACGTATCAGTATACGTTATAGTATCAGTAACGTATCAGTATACGTTATAGTATCGGCAACGTATCAGTATACGTTATAGTATCGGTAACGTATCAGTATACGTTATAGTATCAGTAACGGATCAGTATACGTAATAGTATCAGTAACGTATCAGTATACGTTATAGTATCAGTAACGTATCAGTATACGTTATAGTATCGGCAACGTATCAGTATACGTTATAGTATCAGTAACGGATCAGTATACGTTATAGTATCGGCAACGTATCAGTATACGTTATAGTATCGGCAACGTATCAGTATACGTTATAGTATCAGTAACGTTTCAGTATACGTTATAGTATCAGGAACGTATCAGTATACGTAATACGTTGGAAGGAAAACCCATTTATGTCCACCACAGATGCACTCTTCACCATATAAATGTGATACACAAATCAAATTCGAGTAACGCTCGTTATTATAACAGGCATAGTACATGTTTCATAAAATACATATCCCTTATTTGATAACTGCGTTTATAGTTTGTTTGCCAAGATTAAAAGCATGAGTTGAGGTGATGAAAAAACGGTGATTACTTCCCTTTTGCTATTTGCATGGTCTGTGTCAATAGTTAACTAAACCTTCCTGTCGGAGAACACACATGTCCAAACAAAACGCTATTTACAATGTTATCTTACACTGGTACATCCGACGACGTTGGTGTGGTACAAGGCGCGCCATTGTCAGCTGCACTGTCGGGCTATGCAATAACACATATACATACTTTGCCATTACATAATAGATGTTATAAATTCTCTCACTTATATATTTATGTGATATAAATATTATCATAATTACATCAAATATGTGACATAAATTCTCTCACATCTATAGTCACATATGTGATATAAATATTCTCATAATTACATCAAATATGTGAGAGAAACTCTCTTACATTTATAGTCAAATACGTGATATAAATATTCTCATAATTGCATCAAATATGCGACATAAATTCTCTCACATCTATAGTCAAATATGTGATATAAATAATATCATAATTACATCAAATATGTGACATAAATTCTCTCACATCTATAGTCACATATGTGATATAAATATTCTCATAATTACATCAAATATGTGACAGAAACTCTCTAACATTTATAGTCAAATACGTGATATAAATATTCTCATAATTGCATCAAATGTGACATAAATTCTCTCACATCTATAGTCAAATATGTGATATAAATAGTCTCATAGTTACATCAAATATGTGACAGAAACTCTCTTACATTTACAGTCAAATATGTGATATATATCGTCTCATAATTGAATCAAATATTTCCTGTAAATTCTCTGATACTTACAGTCAAATATATTCTGTACATTGTCTGATATTTGCATCAAATACTAGTATGTGAAATAGGCTCTCGCATATAGACAGTCAATCATGTGATATATATCGTCTCATAATTGAATCAAATATAAACTGTAAATTCTCTGATATTTACAATCAAATATATGATATATATTGTCTCATAATGGCATCAAATATGTGACATAAATTCTCTTACATTTACAGTCAAATATGTTCTGTACATTGTCTCATAATTGCATCAAATATGTGAAATAGGTTTTCGCATATAGACACTCAAATATGTGATATATATCGTTTCATAATTGAATAAAATATGTTCTGTAAGTTCTCTCATATTTACACTCAAATATGTGATATACACATGTATCGTTTCATAATTAAATAAAATATGTGCTGTAAGTTCTCTCATATTTACAATCAAATATGTGATATATATCGTCTCATAATTGCATCAATAGTTGCCTTTTGGCAAGGTAATTAATGCTATCACATGCTAGTGAAGAACATTTTGTACCGTGAACTTCAGATCTATAACTTTTAACTTCCATCATTTATTCGTTATTTTTAAAGGTTGCCATTTATATGACTACCAGCAATGCCTGAGGGATTACATTTCTTTTCGAATAGGCGCTTTATCTGATTTCGTTACAAACGGATTTCACAATTCAAAATAAAATCAAATAAACTGTCCAAAAATTGTTCAACAAATACGATGTTTCTTTCTTCTGTGTGACGGACGTCTTCGTACAATAAAGCCCCCACTCCAAAGGCCATAAACTCCATTTTCAAAACAGAGCCTGTGTATATATTAATAAGTCTGTGTATATAATAATCTGCGGACTGTTTTGCTAAAACAATTGCTTTCACTTGAGGTATCCGTCAGAGTGTTCAATATGTAACTCAGAATCTTCTGAGTCTTCACATGGACAGCATTTGTGAAGATCATTTTAGTTCACATGCCGTGAAATGCAGGAATATCTTTAAAAAGACGGCATCATATCACCCACCACTGTCACTAAGGCCATATTTAAAATTCGTCTGAGTATCATATCAAGGCAGTATTAGAGAAAGGATTCGTTGGCAAATGTGAGGATTTGATGTCGTCATCGTGAGCCCAGGTACAGGTCGAGATCAGGAAGCAGCTTACATCTCCGTGGCGATGGCGGCGTTATGTGACAGGGGACTGACCACAGGTGCCCTTTATCAGAAGATTGAGCGGATTGACCAGCGACAGTAACAGCAGGCACAGCAAGAACAAGTTCACCTGAAATGCAGTTTGTTTTTAGTTGTTATATCAATATAAAACCACACACACACTCGAGTATTTTGAAATAGGAACATCAACAGCAAGCAGTTGCCTATGTTGTTTGTTGTTAAGCGCCGCACACAGCAATATTTCAGCTATGTGGCCAATAATTGGTTGGGTAGTTGTTATTTTAATCCACACGCAACAATATTCAAACACTGTGGTGGCGATCTGTAAATAATCGAGTCTGGACCAGACAATCCAGTGATCAACATCCTGAAAATCGATCTACGCAATTGGGATACGATGACATGTGTCAACCAAGTAAGCAAGCCTGATTACCCAATTCCGTTACGTCGCCTCGTACGATACGGATGGGTTACTGAAGACCAACTCTAACCCGGATCTTCACGGGTCTCCTTTATATAGTATATACTTACGGCAATGGGAGCAAACGGTCCACTTGCTATCCACATGAATAAAGCGTATTGGAGGAACAGCACTATTCCTGCTGTCGTGAACACGATTCCGTAGAACACACCAAAATATTCCCGGGGGTACCTGAAGAAACATATTTTAAATTCCGTACGGATAGATTCTCAGGAAACAGTGTCCAGATTTACTGTGAAGTCAAAGTCGTATGTTTTGTATAAGGTGTATTTTCAGACATTGTCAAGCATACCTCATTTGAATGTAGCATGTTTACCTTATTGTGGAATGTCGCATGTGTACGTAATGTGGATGTCGCATATATACCCAATGTGAATGTCGTAATATATACTTAATGTATACACCCAGTGTGAATGTTATACATGAATCATGCATCTATGTCTAATGTGAATGTCGCACACAATATGAAGGCTGCATGTATACACAATGTGAATGTTGCATGTATGCACGATGTGAATGTTGCATGCATGCACGATGTGAATGTTGCATGCATGCACGATGTGAATGTTGCATGCATGCACGATGTGAATGTTGCATGCATGCACGATGTGAATGTTGCATGCATGCACGATGTGAATGTTGCATGCATGCACGATGTGAATGTTGCATGCATGCACGATGTGAATGTTGCATGTATGCACGATGTGAATGTTGCATGCATATATGTGCATGTTGCATGCATGCACGATGTGAATGTTGCATGTGATGTGAATGTTGCATGTATGCACGATGTGAATGTTGCATATATACACAATGTGAATGTTGCATGTATGCACGATGTGCATGTTGCATATATACACCATGTGAATGTTGCATGTATGCATGATGTGCATGTTGCATGTATGCACGATGTGAATGTTGCATGCATGCACGATGTGAATGTTGCATATGTACACAATGTGAATGTTGCATGTATGCATGATGTGAATGTTTATGTATAAACAATGTGAATGTTTGTGTATGCACGATGTGAATGTGGCATGTATACACAATCTGAATGTTGCATGTATGCACGATGTGAATGTTGCATGTATACACAATGTGAATGTTGCATGTATGCACAATGTGAATGTTGCATGTATACACAATGTGAATGTTGCATGTATACACAATGAGAATGCTGCATGTATGCACAATGTGAATGTTGCATGTATGCACAATGTGAATGTTGCGTGTATGCATGATGTGAATGTTGCATGTATGCATGATGTGAATGTTGCATGTATACACGATGTGCATGTTGCATATATACACGATGTGCATGTTGCATGTATACACGATGTAAATGTTGCATGCATGCACAATGTGAATGTTGCATGTATGCACGATGTGAATGTTGCGTGTATGCACAATGTGAATGTTGCATGTATGCATGATGTGAATGTTGCATGTATACACGATGTGCATGTTGCATATATACACGATGTGCATGTTGCATGTATACACGATGTGAATGTTGCATGTATGCACAATGTGAATGTTGCATGTATGCACAATGTGAATGTTGCGTGTATGCACAATGTGAATGTTGCATGTATGCATGATGTGAATGTTGCGTGTATGCATGATGTGCATGTTGCATGTATGCACGATGTGAATGTTGCGTGTATGCATGATGTGAATGTTGCATGTATGCACAATGTGAATGTTGCGTGTATGCATGATGTGAATGTTGCATGTATGCACAATGTGAATGTTGCATGTATGCACAATGTGAATGTTGCGTGTATGCACAATGTGAATGTTGCGTGTATGCACAATGTGAATGTTGCGTGTATGCATGATGTAAATGTTGCATGTATGCATGATGTGAATGTTGCGTGTATGCACGATGTGAATGTTGCGTGTATGCACAATGTGCATGTTGCATGTATGCACAATGTGAATGTTGCGTGTATGCATGATGTGAATGTTGCATGTATCCACAATGTGAATGTTGCATGTATACCCAATGTGAATGTCGCATGTATACCCAATGTGAATGTTGCATGTATACCCAATGTGAATGTCGCATGTATACCCAATGTGAATGTCTCATGTTTACCCAATGTGAATGTCGCATCTACACCTAATGTGAATATGTCGCATATTTACTTAATGTACATGTTTTCGATATATACCTCATGTGAATGTCGAGACAGTTCTGAGATATTTGCCTCAATGTTTGAACATGAAGGAAATGGTGCAGACATTAAAAAAGACAATCAGCATATCCTGGCACGACTAAGAGACGTAACTCTGTGCAGTGTGGAGAAGAATTTTTTCTGAAGTTTGTAAAAAGTTGAAAGTCAGTATGTAAAACTTTTCATCTCTATTAAATGAAGATTAAATTATAAAAGTAAGTCAAAATAATTAACAAATGAATTAATAGTAGTCATGTGAGAGTGAGTGTGTGAGTGAGTTGAGTTTTAATCCGCACTCAGCATTATTCCAGCTACATGGTGCGGTCTGTAAATAATCGAGTCTGGACCAGAAATTCCAGTGATCAACAGCATGAGCATCGATCTGCACAATTTGGAACCGATGACATGTGTCAACCAATTCAGCGAGCCTGACCTCCCGATCCCGTTAGTTGCCTCTTACGACAAGCATGGGTTACTGAAGACCAATATTCTAAACCGGGTTAGTAGTCATGTGAAGCAGAACTACTTTTTATTGTCTATGACCTCACATAACTTGTGACGTCATGTATTCTTGCGCTGTTCACTGTTGACTGTTCAATGTGTTTTATATTTAGATATAAACCAAGACGCTAGTCTGTTTTCCTATACTTCGCCCTGTTTGTGAGAACTATGCCAGATAAGGCTTACTGTTATCAATAACATTACTAGAAACTTTATTCATAGTCATGTTCTGCTTCACTATGACACATATTTGATAAAATATTCTAACAGAAATTCCACTTACACGTCCACTACGAATGACCACGTCAGCGCGAACACGCACTGCTTGTAGATGACGAACAGAACGAACAACGCATACAGTATCTCCTCCGCTTGGATAAACTGCAGACCCACAGTTACCGCCCCTAGCAGTGTTGTCATGGTGAGAGGGAAAACAGCCGGAAGTAGTTGTCGATGGTATCCTTTGTAATCTGCATCATAGCGAATTCTGTGGGTAACTGAGGCACGCATACACAATGTGAATGTTGCACAGTTCACTTGTGGTGCTTTTTAACTTGCACATTTTGAAATGAAACAGTTCAAGTGATCGATATGTTTATAGTAGCAAATTATGGACTTGGGCACGCAAATACGCAGAAATACATATTTTGAAATGAGAACAGTTCAGGTTATCGATATGTTTATGATAAAACCGCCCATTATGGATAAAGCATAAAATTCGCTGAAATACACATTTTGAACTGAAAACAGTTCAGGTGATCGATATTTTTATAATATTACAGCAAACTATGGGCTAAGGCATACAAATACGCTTCAAATGGGCTTCAAACATTGTACCCATGTGGGGAATAGAACACGGGTTTTCAGCGTGACGAACACTAGCTTTAACTAGTCCACTGCCTCACTGCCCCATTGCCCCATATATTGAAAGAAAGGCAGTGAATTGAAAAGATTGAGGTGAGAGTGACATTTAGTTTTTTCGTCACGTCGCCCGACTAAATGACATTCGACCCAATCCTGAATCTGGAGTATACCTGGATCCAATTTGTTTCCTTCACCAGGCCAGGTTGACAGTTGACACGATGAAGAAGAAATGGGACGAGGAATGTTGTTAAAAACAGATGGCAAGGGGTGCCATAGACTTCCACACGACTCTAAGGCAATACTTTATAATAATTTAAAGTATTACTTTTATACAAATATACATAAAATTAACACACTGTCCCTCTAACAGACTGGCGTCCTTACTGTCAACCTTACCTCTAAAGGACAGCATTACTAATAATATTCATGATCTTAGCATTCAGTACAGTCAGCGAGTACATAACTCAATGACCCAAAAAGTTATCTGTAAATCTGTCCTCTGCAGTACCTGTTGTGTTCTTCTGTGTACGTCTTATGGATGTATAGTAATGTTAATAATGTCTGTCCCTGCCTCTCTATCTCGAATGTCCGGATACTAGTATCTCGAAATATAACACGGGTTGACTGTGTTCGAGATTCTGGGGTTCAACTTTATTTTAAAGCATACGTTGGTCTTACCTTTGAAAGCCATTCGTTGACAGTCGTAGAGGAATCCGCCGACCACGGCGAAGATGGCTGCGCACATGAGAGAGAAGGAAAAGACATCCGTGAAGTGATTGACTGAAACAGATAATAGGTACGACTGGAGAAAACCACATGAGTATTACACAAAAACAACAATATGTGGCACCAGGGCACTTGTCAAAATTGATTCCTTGGAGATCTTGATAAAATATGAAACACCGATATATAGTACAACGTCATAACACCACAGTAAGTAGAATTTTCTAGAGTAGGTGTGTTTAGTTTTAGGCTGCTGAGAGCCATACCGGTTCAACTTCATAACACCACGGTAAGTTCAATGTTTTAGATTGAGTGAGTTACGTTTTACGCTGATTTACTAATATTCCAGCAATGTTAGGACTGGGACCCCAGAAATGAGCTTCACACATTGTACCCATGTACGAGAATCGAACCCGGGTTGGGGTGACGGGCAAACGCTGTAACCACTAGGCTACACTACCGCCTCCAATGCTTTAGACCATTTACCAGTCTCTGTGCCGTCATTGTACAGCATATCTCTTATTGATCCTAGAATGTTGAGTGAGTCCAGTTCAACGCCTTTATAGGTCCGTAAATGTTATTTGACGCCGCAGTCAGCAGTATGTCAGCAAGGTAATGTTCAGTAATCGAGTCGGGGCTAGATAAACCACTGGTTTACGTGATGGGCAAGGTTCCCCGATGTCCTGGTACGATGGCGGGTAATAAACCCTACCCTGACCCATGATCAGGTCTTGTAGAGTTCCTTGACTGATGGTTATACACATGATGCCAAACTATCGGTACCATGTTGACCTGCAGGACCAAATCCTTTGGACGCAGGATCACGATACAATTTACACTGGATGACGGTACTGCTGAGGACCAAGCTTTTCTCTAAGATCATGCATGATCCTTAGGATCGCAGTTTGTTTAAGGATCATGGCATTGCTAAGGACCAAGGTCTTCTGTAAGATCATGCATGTTTTTGGTCCATAGGATCGCAGTGTGTTCAAGGATAATGGCATTCCTAGGGACCAAGGTCTTCACAAAGATCATGCATGCTTTTGGTCCCTTGGATCACGGTGTGTTTAAGGCTCATGACATTGGTAAGGACCAAGGTTTTCTCTTAATAATCATGCATACTTTTGGTCATTATGATCACGGTGTGTTCAAGGATCATGGCATTCCTAGGGACCACAGTATTCTCTAAGATCATGCATGCATCTTTTCGGTCATGTGTGTTCAAGGAGCATGACATTCCTAAGGATCATTGTTTTCTCCGAGATCATAGACGTTTTCGGTAATTAGGTTCACGGTATGCCCTCTAACCATGGCGTTCCAAAGGAAGATGCTATTATTTAAGATCATGACATGCTTTTGGTCCATTATCACTCCACATTCGGATTTTCAATCAGTTGGACCTACAGTACCAAATCCTTAATATCCAGATGACCGAATAGAATGAGGATCAAGTGGTGACAATGTGTCGCCTGAACCCGTGCCATGGCAACCAGACAATGCTAGCAGACATCGGTTAGGGTTGTAAGGAGTGAATGAGTGGGTTTAGTTTTATGCCGCAGCATGAGCATCGATCTGCGCAATTGGGAACCGATGACATGTGTCAACCAAGCCAGCGAGCCTGACCACCTGATCCCGTTAGTCGCCTCATACGACAAGCATGGCTTACTGAAGGTTCATTCTAACCCGGACCTGCACGGGTGAGGATTGTAATAATTGATATATGAATTATCCTCCAACCGAGACTCGAAGACATGAATATACGTGTTTCTGTAACACATGCTACGTAATTCTTTCGTCATTCACTTGTAAAAATGAATTTGAGAAGCAAACCATTGCATATTGGTTAGGTTATGATGCATTCAGTTATGATAAAGACAGAAGACGTAGAAAACACATTTGTGGTTCAGTGAAAAGGTAATGGGAACTATTTGTACAAGCATGTACACGTATACACGTATACACGTAACATGATGTAAACCCATAACCATCGGTGTACGAAGTAGGACAGTCCCCAGGTGAACTCTGTATGGATTAGGGTGTGATATTTAAAATATGAATGTAATTGATGAGTTGTATGTATGTCACACGTGGCGGTCATGTAGATGTGTTCCATGTACAAATATTCCACAAAAATAAAAAATGTACAGTATTTGTCACTATCCCAGATACCCGTGAAGATCCGGGTTTGAATTGATCTTCAGTAACCCATGCTTGTCGTCAGAGGCTATTAACAGGCACGTGGTCAGGCTGGCTGACTTGGTTGACACGTGTCATCGTATCCTAATTGCGTAGATTGATGCTCATGCTGCTGATCACTGGATTTTCTGGTCCAGACTCGATTATTTACAGCCTGCAGTCATATAGCTGGCATATGGCTGACAATGCTGTGTGCGGCGGTATACAACAACCAACCAACCCAACCATTGTTCCAGATCATCAAACAGCATGAGTTCTCATAAACCTGCTTGGTATTGCATGTTTTACACTGAATTATTTAATGGTTTGGGACATATTCTTAGACAGAACGTTTCTACCTTGTGAACCGTGGATGACGATCTCGCAATGAAAAGAGCCTTGACACGAAACTGTGTGACATTTACTTTATGACATAGGCTCATTAAGAATAACAATGAATCGTATGCACGTAAACATCCGTTTACATGTCGAGAGATTGTTCGCTTGAAGAGTTTTCAATGCTCATTGCTCGTGGCGTAATGGGCTGACGTAGTTGTGTTCAGACAAGCGCAAGATGTCTCCGCGGACCGTACCGACCTGTGGACCTGATGCCCGCATCCCTAGTGCACTTAACAAGCATTTAGAAATCATCATTTTACCGTGGCGAAGTATCATCACCTTTATATAACTTTCACTTATGATACAATGATAATTGGGTGCGTATATTACACGTATACATGTATGCCGCGTGTTACGCGTTGTGTGTTTTGAACAGTTAACAATCATATAGTCATGAAGATCACGCCATGTTTCACATTGTATGGCTTAGATGATGGTAAAGCATATATGTTAATGCCTAGGTCACATACACCTAATGTTTCAAAGGTCGCCGACCGATGGGTTTCACCGATGTTACGGCGAGCGACAGATTTTCGTCCACATCTGTGTCACATAGGCGCAGCAGTCACAAAACCAAGGATGATCGGATACGGTTCAAGTCACTTGGAAAATGGACAGCTAAAATCGTCAAGTGACTGACGGTCATCTGGCGGGAATCGGCCGGACATATCCTGACACTCGGACGGTATCTTTCCGATGTAAACCAAATCGTTCGGTTCCCGAACAGGCGCTGGTCGATGCCTGGATTAATATCGCCCGGTTTTCCTCTCGCTAGGAAAGGAGCCTACTCAGTGCCCGGTCAATCAAAGTTGGTGTTCAACACAATCCACATTTCAGAGTCGATGCTCCCTCTGTAGCTCTGCCATCAGAGTCTCGAACTGTCCGTATAATTCAGGACGACGCAGCAGCCAAGGGCAGATCCACCACCTCTTGCCACCCTCTCTTCTTCCTGCAACAACTCTGCTAGAATGGCAGTCTGACGATGTCGGGCTCTAGCATATTCCTTACGGAGCCCAGCCAATCTCAGCAAGTTTAGTGGGTCAGGCATCCTGATGACCTATGCTGCTCAACCCATTCAGACCATTCTTTATACCCCGGACCAGGCACGTAAACATTCATGAAATCTGAATGATACCCGTGCGGCGCCTGCTCGATGCTTGTCCAGACTATTGTTGGTCACCTTCCGACTTAGTTCAATCGTACGGTCTACGAACAGGAACAATCCCAGTATTGATCGATTCTCGTCAGATAACCTTTCTGTTATCCTCCAGTGACCATACCACACCAGCGGACAGAAACAATCATCCTATTCCCTGGCGGCCTGGCAGTTATTTTCTTCCGAGTTGTCCACAAAGTGTCAACGGCGTCTTTCCGATGTCAAAAACATAGCCGATGTCCACGGATGATCGTCCAGCTCTCGGTGTATCTCTCAAATTTGCCGATTTTCAGCCCGGCTGGGCATCGTAAAATAATCTTTCATATGTGACCTATGCATTACGTAGATTTACGATGTCGTAACGCCACGATCGCTTCGTTCAGTCATCACATAAAGATCTTACGTGATTTTAACTATCATACTTTACGTGAGCCTTACGATCTTCTTCGTGTCTTGGGGCGGTGGGGTAGCGTAGTGGTTAAAGCGTTTCCTCGAAGACCCAGGTTCGATTCCCCACATGGGTACATTGTGTGAAGGCCATTTCTGGTGTCCCCCGCCGTGATATTGCTGGAATATTGCTGAAAGCGGCGTAAAACTAAACTCACTCACTCACACTTTTTATATTTGAGAATGCTATATACATTACACCACGTTTATAAGTCACACGCTTGTAACGAACTACGGATGCAACGAATTGTTGCTTAGTCCCGATCATTTTCAGTATAGTTTAGTCGGAATGCTTAGAACGAACTGCGGTTGTAACAAAGTAATACTAATAGGCACCAAGAGAGGTATGAATGACGAGGACGATTGATAATGTTGACGCCACTGTACGGAATTGTGTCATCGTTGGAATAAAGTGTGAAATTGACTGACTGACTGAGTTTGGTTTTACGCCGCTTTTAGCAATATTCCAGCAACATCACGGCGGGGGGACACCAGAAATGGGCTTTACACATTGTACCCATGTGGGGATTCGAACCCGGGTCTTCGGCGTGACGAGCCAACTCTTTAACCTGTAGGCTACCCCACCGCCCCTGTGAAATTGAAGCCTGTTATGACACTCCGTACGGCGGTGGGGTAGCCCAGCGGTTGAAGCGTTAGCTCGTCACCCCGAAGACGCGGGTTATATTCATCACATGGGTAAAATGTGTGAAGCCCATTTCTGGTGTCCTTCGACGTGAGACTGCCTCCGTGGTGTATTGGTTAGAGCGTCCGCCCGGAGAGTGGAAGGTCGCGGGTTCGATTTCCGGCCGCGTCATACCAAAGACGTTAAAATATGGTACTTATTGGTCCCTGCCTGGCGCTCGGTATTAATGGGTACAACACGGACTGGTAGGCTCGGAGTCAGTATAATGTGTCTGAGTGAGGTATTCATGCTTCACTGCGGCATGGTATCTCAGTGAGCCAAGTCATGAACGCTGTTGTCCTTGCAGATACTTTTGCGTTTCTATGGACATAAATATTATTTTGGAGACATTCTTGGAAGCAACATACTTACGGCGCGTTGTCATGGTTTTCATGACATGACATTGCAAAAGCGATTTTTCGGTTAAATAAAAGTGCTATAGCTTTAAACTTACTATACTGATCCGCCTAGCGCTGGTCATGAACTTGTGCTCGGTGACATGAGTATTTTATTTTTATTTTATTTTATTTCAGATTATTTTGCATGGTTTAGTATTGAGAGACAGAGTAAAGATACGGTTGGTTATTGCATATAAGAGGCTATTAAAGGATTGTCATGAGAAAATGACATTCCGAAAGATCACAGCAATAGGAAACCAAAACATTGCATTTTTCAAACAATTTTCAAATTTAAACATTAAATGCGGAACGGCCATTTCTTACACTCACCCTGCGCCCCATGTTATATGTGACCAATTTCTAATGTCATTTTCAGTCATTTATCCGCTGAGTTATCGATCTTGAATGGGTTCTACCACTCAGTTAAAAAATCTATTTTTATGTGACAGTTGTAATTAGCATAACATATGTTGCATTACAGGATCATGTTCTGATCGATATTTATGCACTCCAAGCTTCCATCACTGTAATATTTGATCAGATAAAAACTAGTGCCTATATGTGGAAGGTTTCTTTGTTATTTTAATAATAATGCATTTTCCTCCTCTCCTTCAGACCCATGAGCTGAAACTTTTTGTCTTACTAAACGCCGAGGCTGTAAATATCGAAAATCCAATATGGCAGCCAGAGTCAACCATCTTCAGTTTTTTAAATAATGGGTTTCCAAAAATCAATTGGTCTGCTGGGCAAAAAGTATATGATTGGGATGTTTATTACGCAAATATTGTATAAAATGTTAAAACTTCACGATTGGTCAAGAAATATTCTCGTGTTTGTGTGTGCAATTGATATGTATAAAAAAATTATTACCAATGAACAAATTTTCTTACCTTTTTCCGTGTGCCTGTGAAGTACCCGTTCTAACATGGCGTTGGAAATTCCAATAAATGTGAGTAGATAGAAGTCGTTCACAACGAACCAGAACAGATGGAACAAGAACGTCCTATTGAACACACAACTCCTGAGAGTGGGCATGACCTCCTCCCCAACAGGAGATGGTAACATGGGTGAATCCACGTCATGTTTAGGTGAGCAAGGTGGACTTCCGTTTGCTATGTTGAGTTCTAGTTGTTCCTTTCCTGAAATAAAGAAGATATACAATTGCGTGAGTATGGTTTCACGACGCTTTTCGCAATATTCAGCAATAGCTGGGGACACCAGAAACGGGCTTCACACATTTTACCCATTTGATGAATCGAACCTGGACCTTCGGCGTGACGAGCGAACGCTTTAACCACTACGCTACCCCGCCGCTCCAAGACATAAAAGACCCACAGGATGAAGAACGCAAACCATAGGAAGATGTTGAGTATCATCAGCAAAATGGACGAGGACACTCCTTCCAGTGTAGAGCGATACCGCATGTATCATTAATTACTTAAAAGGATCTGTGATTTAATGGGCCTCCACACGCCTTTCATTTGTTACTAAGCGACGGTCAACAAAGGTACAGGGTCAGAGCGGTCAGTTAAGGACATATTGGTTGGACCACAGCTCACACCATCTCAGTAAAGTACGTTTATAACGAACAATGATGAATATAACTAACTGTTTCTGGACCTGAGCTCCTGTTGAATATTTTAGTTAATATGCGCATAAATGAAATGCGAATTAGAGCGAGTGAGTTTAGTTTTATGCAGCTTTTAACCTTTTAGCAATATTCCAGCAACAGTATGGCGGGGGACACCAGAAATGGGATTCACTTGTGGCGAATCGAACCCGGATCTTCGACGTGACAAGCGAACGCTTTCACCACTAGGCTACCCCATCGCCCCTATAACGAACTTGAGTTTAAACGAGGTAGAATAAGCAGTCAGTTTACTTTCGTCATATTCGTAATTTACTCCTTGTTTACGTAGTTTACACTTTCTATATTTTAGACAATGTTTCCAAAATGATAGTAAACAAGCATTAAACATAATGTACTGATGTATCCCAAACTATACATTAGGAAACACTATCTGGACTTAAAATCGACGACATCTACACCAGCAGCATATTCCTGGCGTACTGGAATTCGAAATGGGTTCAAATCCAGAGATAAAATACACTGCACTGCCGAGGATGGGGTAAATCGCTTCGCGTAACTTTTAGTGTCCTTCATGGCTATAGGAATCCAGTTTCCCGACATATCCTTTATTCACAGGAAGTTGATTCAGCTTATTCGACGTTTTTATTCGACACAAAAGTGTGTTTGGGGTAGAGAATTCATGGCATATACGCTTCGTTGGGATATAAAAGTGAACTTATATTTCGAGTGATTTGTATAAACACGGACTCAAGGCCTACAACCCTAAATTCAACCCTAATATAAACATGTTCAATTGTGGCATTCAAAATCACAAACATGCTTAGGTGAGTGAGTGTATTCAGGGTTTACGCCGCTTTTAGCAATATTCCAGCAATTTCACGGCGGGGGACACCAGAATGGGCTATACACATTGTACCCATGTTCTACAGTGTGACGAGCGAACGCTTTAACCACCAGGCTACCCCACCGCCCCACATGATTAGGATCGAAGCGTGATCATATTTCAACTTTTTCATAAAAGAGTAGATGAAACATCTAATACCGAATTTCTTAGTATCGTGTAGATGATCAGCGGAGAGTGTTTCCGTATGGTGAAAATGTGAAAAATCATGAAAAACTATTCATATGGAGAATAACAGATATTTGATATTCTTAATAAATGCTATTTACTCAGCCCAAAAGCCTTGGATACAATGACATGTGTCAACTAAGTCAGCGAGCCTGACCACACGATCCCGTCAGTAGTCTTGTATTTCTATGAATGCGTTTAAGCTCGGGGATAATTACCGTATTTTCGACGTATAATCAGGTTCGGAACGCACCTGTTACCTAGGTATGATTCTATCACACGTATATTCCTTCTGATAGCGCAGCGGGGTAGTCTTGTTGATAAAGCGTTCGCCCGTTACGCCGGGTTCGATTCTCCACATGGGTAAATGTGTGAAACCCATTTCTGGAGTCCCCCCGCGGTGATATAACTGGAATATTGCTAAAACCCGCGTAAAACTAAACTGACTAACGTAGTGACTCGAATCGTGCAAAGCTATGAATATTTTTTCCACAACACTGCTTCCACGTACCATCCATGATCGCTGGAGATTTCTCGCAAGTCACGAGCGGGGGGAACTGTTGGTTATCCTTGACACTGACGTCATTCTCCTCCACCGGAACTGTGAGTTCGCGCACCGGATATTGCGAGCGACGGAAGAAGAGGATGGAGTTTGCTGTCACGAAGACGGCGTTGAGGGATGACAGCAAGATGTACGAGTGTTGTCTTGGTATGCCGTTCTCAAACGCAACCTGACAAAAAAAAAACATGGATTAAAATAAAACGATGACGATAGTAGAGGAAAATGTAGGAAATCATGACAACAATACCAGTTACTTCCCAATTTCAATAGAAATCGATGAAGCGTGAGCGAGGTGTACAACGGAGTGAGGTACTTGAATGTGCAGTGGACCGAAGAAGACTCCCTAAAGATGTGGTAACAAAGGGGACAAAGGAAGGTATTGAATTGAGCGGTGTGAATGGAGCGACGATGGTGTTCGTTGGGATGGATAGGAAAAGTCCGTCTGCTTTAAGACTGTGGTCTGCTAGCGAACCACTTCCAGTTTACACGTCCGAGGAAGGTTTAAATGATGGCATTACTTTTTAGCTGTATTGCTATGGATGGGAGGTTCGTAGATCTGTGAAGTGTGTATCGATGTCTGTCTAGGGACTACACATATATTATCATCGAGGTATATAAGGATTATATTCTAAGTATGCAAACAAAAAAAACCGACAAAACAAGCAATTCCATTCATATCATTTATTGATTCAAGTCAATCGGTTTTATACAAAGCTGTGATATACGAATGGACAATAGGATTCACTCTGGAACAGGCTGCTGCTTCAAGGCGCGATTGTTTAAACGGCAAGTCCATGTTTTGAAACACATTTCGCACTGTTGAATATTCAGTTCACCTTTCCTATGCTGTTTTAAGGTTGAATGGTTATCAGTAGTCTATGTTTTATCCACTGCCTTTAACGATGTCCGTCCAGGGGTCCCAGTTTCAAAACTCCTCTCACGTAGGGGAAAATTCGGCGTTTCTCATCGTTCAAGCGCCTCTGTGTATGAGGTGTTTTCAAAATATGAATCAAACTAGTGCGGCGTTGAGGCATTCTCTTCTGACTGTTAGAATATACTTGAGAATTTCCTATCTCCTTAGGCTTTTGTGACTGTTGCGCATGCTGTCCTTTCTTTACAGTTCAGGGTGGCTGCCCGTGGACACTGAAGACCATCAAGTGTGTATGTCACAAGTGTGCTGTGAAGAAAAGAGGGTCGTTTAACTCTCGCCAGCAAACGGGTTGGACGTGAACAACATTTAGGCAGCTGACCCTAGAGATATATTTAGGAAGACCACGTTAAGAACAACGATGGTCAGAGATGCATGTGACTTGAAACGTCAACAGTATAAAAGAAAGCTTGAACCCTGTAATCTGGACACTTGTATGGGATCACGATGGGAGTGACTACCTTTAATTTGGTCTCCTCAAGAGAGATACCCTCCTCCTCAAGAGAAACACCTACCTCCTCCTCCTCCCTCAAGAGAAACACCTACCTCCCTCCTCCTCACAATACATGGCCTGATCAACCCCGACCTACCCGCATTGTTTGGTGTTATACTCAATGGTAATATCTTGGACGAGGATAATATTTCGCGGCTGTTTACTCAAACCTCCCATCACAAGAATGTATTGATCTTTCTCTTGGTACAAAATCTGTTTCCGAGAGGTAAAGAATCGAGAGACATTGCTTTGAACGCGCATTATGTCAGCTTGTTTCATCCCCCATAGATAAACAGCAAATCAAACTCTTTGATGGTCTAAAACCTACCACCAAAGATCACCGTTGCCTAGGGAAAAGTTGACTACAACAGAATCTCTGGATAGTCCTCTGACTGAAGAAGAGAGACTTCACAGGCAGACACGAGTAGTGAGACATCGTTGACCCAGAACATGCGTCTTCAGCGTAAGACATCTAGACTCGAACTGAACAGTGACTATGACGACCTAGCCTCTTCCCAGAAAGGCAGTGGTCAAGGACATTGGACATGTTTCGCATGCGCAACAGATAGCGATGTGAAGCTACAACGCATCAATGTTTAGGACGAACGCAAGAATGGATTGAGAATGCCTAAGGAGATAGGAAATAAATACCGGTCATTAGTATATCAGTCTAACATTCAGAAGAGAATGCCGAGTCAACGCCGCACGTCTAGTTTGGTTCATATTTTGAAAACACCTCATACACTGAGGCGCTTGAACGATGAGAAACGCCGAATTTTCCCCTACATGAGAGGAGTTGTGAAACTGGAACCCCTGGACGGACATCGTTAAAGGCAGTGGATAAAACATAGACTATTGATAACCATTCAACCTAAAAACAGCATAGGAAAGGTGAACTGAATATTCAACAGTGCGAAATGTGTTTCAAAACATGGACTTGCCGTTTAAACAATCGCGCCTTGAAGCAGCAGCCTGTGTCTAGAGTGACTGAACTGTTGACTTTAATGTTCCAGAGTGAATCCTATTGTCCATTCGTATATCACAGCTTTGTATAGAACCGATTGACTTGAATCAATAAATGATATGAATGGAATTGCTTGTTTTGTCGGGGTTTTTTGTTTGCATACTTAGAATATAATCCTTATATACCTCGATGATAATATATGTGTAGTCCCTAGACAGACATCGATACACACTTCACAGATCTACGGGAACCGCTAGCAGACGACGAACACCTGTGTCATCTCATTCACACCGCTCAATTCAATACCTTCCTTTGTTCCCTTTGTTACCACATCTTTAGGGAGTCTTCTTCGGTCCACTACACATTCAAGTACCTCACTCCATTGTACACCCGCTCACGCTTCATCGATTTCTATTGAAACTGGGAGGTAACTGGTATTGTTGTCATGATTTCCTACATTTTCCTCTACTGACGATGAAAACAACAATGCCGACGCCAAGGTGACATCATCAACATCAACATCAAAAGACCACCCAAACTCCATTACTGTATACCATTTTAAGCTGCAACAATGATAATAATCATAATAACAAGAATAATAACTAATAGTGCTGTAACGATGCATCGAACTATCGACGGATTGCAAGTGTTGAGTCTCCGATAGTAATTAATCGATGGTAGAAACGAAAAACTATCGATGCACCGACAATTGACTTTCTTTGATAATTGCGCAGTGGAAAATACTGGAAATACCAGATTCGTTCACTTTGATTTAGAGTTATCCGCCCCTGTTACCTCTTACATGGCGGCAAACAGGGCAGTCGACTAGGGGTTCGAAATTGTGAATAACTATAACAATTGTTTACACCTCATTAGTCACCCCAAATATCCATTTAAGGAACCTTATATAACAGTGTTTCAAAAGTTCACAGATATACAGTTATTTATGTGTAAGTAGATTGAACAGTTTCACCCCTATATTTATTTTTTAGGAGTAAACATATTACATATATTATAGTGTATGGCATTCTGTACAATCTACAGGATTTTTAGCTTGCAGTTATTACTTCTTGATGCATGTGCAGGTGCTTGTATTTGGTTTCAGTCCTCTTATTCTGCTTACTGCCCTACTTATTTTGTTGCAGTGTTCCACTGTAAACCATGTACATCCCCACGTATCAATATAATAGTCCATGGGGGCGGTGGGGTAGCCTAGTGGTTAAAGCCTTGGCTTGTCACGCCGATTCGATTCCCCACATGGGTATAATGTGTGAAGCCCATTTCTGGTGTCCCCGCCATACTATTGTTGGAATATTGCTAAAAAGCGGCGTAAAAATAAGCTCACTCACTCTTGTTCGCATTTCACTCACTCACTCTGTAGTCAGGTATGGTCATAAACGCCTGTGGATTTGCGTGTGCAGATAATGGAGTCTGGATCAGACAATCCAGTGACACCAATGAAGTTCCAGGTTAGAATTGGTCTCTAGCAACCCATTCTTGTCGCAATAAGTGACTAACTTGTTGGCACAACACGTGGCCGTCGGCGACCTTGGAGATGAACTGCTTGTAGATATCTTATCGCCTGATACCCGTGAAGATCCGGCTTAGAATTGGTCTTCAGCAAACGCATGCTTGTAGAAAGAGGCGACTAACGGGGTGGGTGGTCAGGCTCGCTTACTTAATTGGTTGGCACATATCATCGTATCCCATTTGCGTAGATCGATGATCGTGCTGTTGATCACTGGATTGTCTGGTCCAGATTATTAACAGACCGCCGCCATATAGCTGGAATATTGCTGAGTGCGGCGGTAAACAACAACCCAACCGATCCAAGCTATATCCCTGATCATCACGGCATGAGATCCCATAAACTGCCGCCATACAGCTGGAATAATGCTGAGTGCGGCGTTAAACAATAACCCAACCGATCCAAGCTATATCCCTGATCATCACGGCATGAGATCCCATAAACTGCTGCCATACAGCTGGAATATTGCTGAGTGTGGCGTTAGACAACAACCCAACCAACCCAAGCTATATCCCTGATCATCACGGCATGAGTTCCCATAAACTGCTGCCATACAGCTGGAATATTGCTGAGTGTGGCGTTAGACAACAACCCAACCAACCCAAGCTATATCCCTGATCATCACGGCATGAGATCCCATAAACTGCTGCCATACAGCTGGAATATTGCTGAGTGTGGCGTTAGACAACAACCCAACCACCCCAAGCTATATCCCTGATCATCACGGCATGAGATCCCATAAACTGCTGCCATACAGCTGGAATATTGCTGAGTGTGGCGTTAGACAACAACCCAACCAACCCAAGCTATATCCCTGATCATCACGGCATGAGATCCCATAAACTGCTGCCATACAGCTGGAATATTGCTGAGTGTGGCGTTAGACAACAACCCAACCAACCCAAGCTATATCCCTGATCATCACGGCATGAGATCCCATAAACTGCTGCCATACAGCTGGAATATTGCTGAGTGTGGCGTTAGACAACAACCCAACCAACCCAAGCTATATCCCTGATCATCACGGCATGAGATCCCATAAACTGCCACCATACAGCTGGAATATTGCTGAGTGTGGCGTTAGACAACAAGCAACCAAATAAACAAGCAAAAAGAACACTTCATCAGGATTTCATTATTCGTCAAAGATATCTTCCTTCTTGCTTCAAGGGTCAAGAACATGTAATATATACATCCTCATAACTACCTCGCTTTATATGTTCGAGCCGACATTCAAACACACATTCATTCTGGCGTGCCCATTGCACAAAACGCTGCATCATCGACAGCACAAAACACTGCATCATCGACAGCACAAAACGCTGCATCATCGACAGCACAAAACACTGCATCATCGACAGCACAAAACGCTGCATCATCGACAGCACAAAACTCTGCATCATCTACAGCACAAAACTCTGCATCATCGACAGCACAAAACTCTGCATCATCGAATGGTCTGATTTCAGTATTTTAGATCCTCGCTATGGAGAAGTACGTGTAAGACTAGTCGTGAGTACTAAACAGAATTAATATTAAGGTTTTTGTGACATTTGATATAATATATAATATAATGATATAAATAGCATCATGAAAATTGATGAAGTGTCTACCTAGTGTAATTATCAATCGCATATGTTTGTAAACGTTTGTCATAAAAAATGAAAACGATACATGAAAAGTGCATGCAGAAAACGTTTTCCACGTGTGCAATCGCTTCCATGGCGGTGTCGTGTAGGGACGGCTGCAAGGATTGGTGTCACCAGGTACTGACCTGAACGCCCCCTTGTGTCCACACATGTGCAGTGAATGAGCTAAATTAATGCTGATAATGACAATACATAAATTATGCTCATCCGCGTGTCGAATTTCCTTCATCTATGATCAAGCTTAATCGACTTATGTACACTTAACTACATTTAATACATTTCATTATTTTTGGCCTGTGCGTTCCTGTTCTTTGAAGAGTTTACATGTTGTCATTACTCTGTTCATATCATTGTTCACTAAATTGAGGCGTAAGTTACAACTGAATGAATTTGCATTTGCAGCAATTAAAACAACTATTCTGAAACAATTGCTATAACCAACATCAACGTACACTTCAGCACGGATATATTACAATGTTCGGTTGATTAATTAATTAATTGCTTACAATAATTGATGTAGAACTGTAATAATATTTTCCGAAATTAAAATGACTTGCAGTTACGAACTTAATGGTTCTACGCAAGTGAAACATTCTGGCATAGGAAACCATGGCAATGGTTCTAAATGTCATCACGTCATTACAAATTGATGATTTGACCATGTGTTTCACTGGTCGGGGTGTTTTTATACATTTTCAACGGGAAAACGTAACTGTGCTGCATGAACATTTACAATGAAAATAATCATTTTGAAGTTAAACAATCATGCAACATTTAGTACATTTTTTAAGACATCTCGTCGCCCCTTAGAACGTGATTTACGATTTGCACGTGCATTTTGGATGTTTGCATTCTTTTTCATGATACATGCGTGGTTTCTGAATGGGAAACGAGCAAATGCTTTAACCATTAGGCTACCCAACCGCCCCTCAACAAGTTGAAGGAACTCACCAACTAGCACCAACATAGAGCGATACCCCAAACTGGTTTCCACGTCATCCTCATCGCAAACCATACGCTAGACATCCAACTGCAGCACCTGTACTGAGGTTCCCAATACAATTCCAGTGTACTCACCTTAATGAGCCACTGGGTGGTGGACGCAGAGTAGTAGAATCCGGTCAGGAGGGACACGGCCACAGATGACCCCCGGTTAAACAGAAACGGAATCACCTGCGTAATTAAAACGTCAATACGCAATGAATACAAAATATACACAAGCACGCACGATCTTCACGAAATCAATCACTGGGTTATCGGGCTCAGACTGTCATACACACATACACAAACCCATATACACAAGCATACACACAAACAGAAATGAGCAGCGCCGTAAAACCAAATTCACTCATTTGCACTCAAAGAAGTGAAGATCTGGGTTTCATTGGTCTTCAGCAACCCATGCTTGTCGTAAGAGAGGACTAACGGGATCGGGTGGTTTGGTTAACGCATGTCATCGTATCCCAATTACGTAGATCAATGCTCGTGCATAATGCTGACCACTGGAGTGTGTTCATTATTTACAGCCCGCCGCCATATAGCTGGATTATTGCTGATTGCAGCGTTAAACAACAATCCCACAAGAACCTATGTGTACTTTCTTACCTGGAGATTAGCAGCGTTTATACACACAGCTCCGAATGCCATTGACAATAAGCCCGGGCAGATAATCCATGGTGCATCTGCAATATATTATGAAGTAATTTCTACGGCATCTTGTGTAAGAGTGGAATGTATAGCGTCTAGTGTGTATAAATATAAACATTAAACCATAAAACACATATATCACATTGTTACACACAGCCAGGCTGACAAGGGCCTCTTTGACACCATGTTACCGTAAAACGGTCAATAATAGTAAAAGCTTAGTTGTGCTAAAATAGTACCAATATCATGCATTGATAGTAGAGGCAGGGAGTGCTAACTAGCGAATGAGAAGGCATATAATTGGTTATAAAGTCTACGCTTAAACATGTTTTGTATCAGTACGGCTACAGAGGTTGACAAATGCTCGCATAAGACATACATACCTAAAGTATTTCAATTGTTCGAATGCTGACATAAAAGAGAAATTCTAATTGAAAGACAAACATACGTTGTTTGGTCTAAATAATAAAAACAAATAATATATATATATATATATACTGTAAGCCATTAAAAACGCAATTTGACATTCATACTTTCTTTACTCACACTAATTTCAACATATATAAACCTAACTGGCAGATATGTTTTAAGTGAAATCTGTGAATAATTTCATCTGAAAATGTCCAGTCAACAACAACATCAGTGACGCAACAACGACATCAAACAAAGGAGGGATCACTTGCAGTCAATATCGTGTGTGTCCACCGTGCGCTGCAAGACATGCTCGCAGTCTTTGGGGCATTGAAAGACACACATTTCTCAGGAACAGCTGTTGGATGGTCTGCAGCCTCTGATGGTCTGTGGTCTGATCATGACACCACCCCCTCCAAAACGATCATGTTCAAGGACACAGTTTGGCGCAAGTCTTTCTCCTTTACGTCGATAAATCTGTTGACGTCCATCTTCAAAGGATAAGTTAAACCTGGATTCATCTGAATCCATGACATCTGGCCATGTCCTGTTGCCAAGACTGGCCCCATTTGCTGCCCATCGCTGTCTGGCAAGTCTGAGGCGATGCAATAAGGTTGGACCACGGTACGGGTGACGGCACCGGATGTTGAAGGCAGCAAGGCGTCCTTGCACCTTTTGGGCGCTGAAATGACGTTGACTTGTCCCAAATGTCCTCCTTGCCTAATCATCAGCTGTTTGGAACCGATTTCGCAAGTGTGAAACTCGGATATTGCGGTGTTGTCGAGCTGTTATCACAGGTGGTGCACCAGGTCGCGGACGATCAGCAACACTTCCGGTAGCCCGAAAACGTTGTCTGAGTCGACTTACAGTGGATGGATGCACATTAAAGTGCCTGGCAATCATCACATCTGAAGCACCTTGGCTGACCATACCGATAACCTGATTCCTTTCGTCTTGTGTCAAGTGTGGCATTTTCTCAAAGTGATTGAGTTCCACAATTCCTTGTGCTTTTACAGGGCCTGGGTGCAGGTGATGCATGTGCACAACGTGTTTCATGAATGTGGTTGTGTTTACGAGAAATGTCAAATGAGAAATGTTCAGTTTTAAGTATCAAAGTTCATGTGAGAGGTATGCTCCGGGACACGACCTCGAAATGGGCCAGAATAACAGCCTTTTATCCCCACATCATCTGTATCGCAGGAAAAAATCTTCAAAGAACTTTTTGAAGTTTCAGGAAAACAAACACCAATTGCGTTTTTAATGGCTTACAGAGATAGTAACTTCAAAGGAAGTTAAGCATCACCGGCCGCGGATTCTTTTATATTGTGTTAATATTCAGTCAAGCATCACAGATTGACTGCACGATTCACAATGCATTAATGATTGGTATAGCAATTTGAAAGAATCGCGTCATTCTTGACATATTTATGACTCTAGCACAATATCAAACAGCCATGCACACTCGACTCAGCGTGTCTTAAGAATTGATGGAAAATTTTTAAAGATGACAATGGCAGAAATTGATTACTTACAAAAGCATCCCTATACTGCAGCCTGCCTGTACAAAGACAGAGGCTGAACTAAATGTGTTTTTAATATTCATATCAAATCATTATCTTCTGTGATTATAATAATAATCTTTATTTGCACTGAGAAGGCCACAGACCTATAGTACATAAAGTTATGTTACATTTGAGAGGAATTTAGATCGGGTAATCATAGCATAGTAAATGAACATTGAAATGTTTTGTAGAAGAACTGGATTGTAGCTACTTAACAGTGAGGAGAATTTTATCACATTTGGATGGACATAGTAATATCTTTTAATATATTTTGTTCGCAACCGGTCATAAAATGGACATATTAGGAGAAAATGTAATTCATCTTCTATTTCGTTAAAACTACAAAGTGTACATATTCTATTTTCTCTTTTTACATTCATATATCTGCCTCTTTCAATCAACAAATCATGAGAAGAGCATCTGAATCGTGCCAGTGCTATTCTACACTTTTTAACATTAACACAGGATAGATATGACTCAAGGACTATGGCATTTTTAAACAATTAATAATAAATGCATTTATTTGATAAGAATATCCTTTCACACCATGTTTGAATATACATATCTTTTAGTCTTGTCGTTAAGGATTGTATGAATAACGTAGGTGATTCGACATATTGTGTATTCCATGTAATTCCCAAACCAATAGAATATAATTTTTTTTACATTGGTTGCCCAGTGTTTTTTGTCCACCTTTATCATATAACAACATCATATTATAACACTTCTTGGGTAAGCGATTTGAAGGCATAATCAACAGTTTTAGCCAGTACTTAATAACTTTAATGCTTGTAAGAATGTGCATTGGGTACCTACCGCATTCACCATAAATCACTGCGTTAATAGTGTTAATTTTAACTCCGAGGAAATTTGTGCATGCGTATAAATGGATTTTTTCAATTTCGTCAAATTTTGTTATTCTCCAAATTTCGGCCCCATATGATAAAATTGGACTGACCTTGGCATCAAATATTTTAAAGAATGAAGAGTAGTTAATATTACCAAGTACACTCAACTGTTTCATAATTCCAATTAATGCTTTTTGTCCCTGTAACGCTGCATATTTTACATGCCTCGTCCATGACAGACCACTGGTGAAATATAGTCCCAAATATTTATAAAAGCCAATACACTCCAGTTTCATACCTTTATATAACCAGTTTTCCTTTTTAGACAATTTGCCATTTTTGAATACAACAATTTTCGTTTATCTCTATTTACAGTTAATTTCCATTTATCGCAGTAACTTTCAAGTTCATTAATTTGATTCTATAAGCCATTAATCGTGCTTGAGAACAAAATAATGTCATCTGCAAATAGCAATGTGTCCACAATTAGTTTCGATTTGTCGTGCTAACTCATTTATAAAAAAGGAAAATAGAAATGGGCTTAGTATACAGCCTTGTCTCACACCAAGTTGCAAGTCAAATGTTTCTGAAAAATTATGATTACTTTTAATACAAGCCTTAACATTTTCATACATATTGCATTTTACCACTGAGATCGTGGGTATCAAATAGAAGCCAAAGTATTTTTCGTTGTATTGAATCGAAAGCTTTTGAAAAATCTACAAATAATGCGTAGAATTTCCCCCATTTATAGTTTAAATACCTTTGAATACTACTTTGCAGTATAAACATATTATCTACTGTCGTATATCCCTGTCTGAAGCCAGCTTGCGCTTCGCTGATCTTATCCATTGAGTCTCCCCAGTTTACAAGTCTTTTATTTATTATAGAGGTGAAAGTTTTACTAAATATGCTCAGTAGTGTTATGCCTCTGTAATTATTTGGATTATTTATATTACCTTGTTTATGGATAGGAACTATTATGCCAATTGCCCAGCATCTGGGGAACGTACCAGTTTCCAATATCAAATTAAAGAGCAATTCTAAGTACGGGACAATAAGATCTGCTGAGTATTTAAAAAATTCAGATATTGTTTTATCAATTCCTGGTGATTTATTACATTTCAGTTGGTTAATGCTATCTAAGATTTCATCTCTAGTAATTGGGGAATCAAGTATTACCTTGGTAAGCTCTGAATTCGGATCTGATGAGTTTTCATTCTCGAAATTATCACATGTTACATCGTCATTTTCATTGTGTAAAGAGTTAAACAGTGTCCGAAAGTGTTCTAGCCAGTCGTTCATTTCGATGTTGTTTTGAGCTTCATGTCTAGTATTCAGGTGTTTGAGTTCATACCAAAACATTTTTGATTCAGATATACTGTTTTCTATTACTCTCTGCTTCTCTTTATAAAATTAAGGCGTTTTTCCTTACAAATTGAGTTATATTTATTTCTTTTAGCGCACTTTTGATCGTATGATTCTTTATCTTTCGATTTCCTAAACTTATTCAGAGCTCAGAGTTCTGTGATTACGCAATGCCATTTAGAAAGTGGTCAAATGTAAGATATGTTATATTTGGGATTACAGTTTCTTAGTAAAGTACTGGAATCTGTACTTTACTAGGAAAGTGTAATCAGAAATATAGCATATCTTATATTATTTTCTGCTTTACAACTGAGGGGTTGAAAATACCCATATTTCTCCAAAAAGGAATATGTTATCATAATGTGAACACTATCTCAGTCGTCATGAACAGCAGAAAAAGCCTTCTGTTTCACTGTTCAGTTCACCGACTTCATCCAAATGGGGGACTTTGCAGGGTTGCTTTGAAAAACTAAGTCAGTGCCGATTTAATAAGGCACTTCGCTTGGGTAACACTCACTTCTGTACCGTCCAGCAGCAGCAGAGATTCATTGACATTGAGATTATGCCCAGCATCCCTGGCTCATTTATTTAAACTGTGGAATGCCCTGTTTTCATTATGAGTTTTGACACGCTTCACAAGAGAGTCATCAGACAAATATATGTCTGCAAACGTGGACAATATAATTCTTCACGAAGAACCTCCTTGAAGTTAATCAGACCACGTCCTCGTAACATAATCTATTAATCTTATTTATTATATTATTAATCTTACATAATTAAATAATCTATAACCGGTTAATAGGAACAGTAAGGTGGCGGGCTCTGTTGTCTGACGTTATTCTTCGAGTGAGGGTGTCAATACCCTGCATTTCATTTTTGTGTCCACCAATCAACAACACCAGAAGAATAAGACGTCATGCCGGACACATCGTTAGTGTTAGTGTAATGGGGGCTGATTGGAAGGGAAGTTTGATGGGTAGAGAGGTCTGATAACCAAGGAGCTGCACGGTTTAAACATGGATGCTTTGATACAAGCCAGCGCAAGGTATATGTAACACATTAATACTTACTGTTGTCAACGAACGCAAGCATCAATGTTCCCGTACAGAATGTTACCCTGCAACGTATAGATTGGAAATAATCACCATGGAGTTATTTCAGATAAGGCAACAGGGAGCAACACACAGATAATATTTACATAACCAAGAGAGTACAGCGAGGGGCTTAGTGAGGGGGAGAAGAGAGTTTTGTGTATTGTTTAACGCCGCACTTAGCAATATTCCAGCTATATGACGGCGTCTGTAAACAGTCCAGTGATTGATATCATGAGCATCGATTTGCACAATTGGGATACGATGACATGGGTTGCTGAAGGCAGGTTCTTACTCGCATCTTCACAGGCTAGTGTGAAGAGTGAGTGAGGGAGTTTGGTTTTACGCCGCTTTTAGCAATATTCCAGCAATATCACGGCGGGGGACACCAGAAATGGCCTTCACACATTGTACCCATGTGTGGAATCGAACCCGGGTCTTCGGCGTGACGAGCGAACGCTTTAACCATTAGGCTACCCCACCGCCCCACTAGTGTGAAGAGAAGGAGGGTAAAGGAAGAGGTAGAGAAGGGCGAAAAGAAAGAGAGGGATACAAGGGGGGAGAGTTTAATGCTTTATCTATATTCCGTAACGTTCTTGACTCATTAAAGAGATTTCAACAAAAGCTCAAATATATACGCATATTTATATAATGATCTGAGCATTGCTTATTAATTCAGGAAAACGTTAAAATGACTGAATTTTTTTAAAAAATAACAAAACGGATCCAGCGTAAAAACATATTCCCATCTGTTCTCAATGACAATTTCCATAAGTGAATAGCTGCATGTTAAACAAATAATATTTTCTTCCCAACGACTGATCTCCAAACTCCCCTGACATGGCATTGTGGGTGCATTCAAAATGTACAAGGTGTAGATTTATCAGTCAAGCTTAAGCACGGAAACAGATTCCTTTGGGCTATGAGCAGTGTGCGAAATAGTTTCCAAATTTTGCAAGTTATGTCTGAAAGTTACTAGCCCACAAAATAATTCACTAGCCAAAATTTTCAATGCAGAAACTAAGCAAAACATTACAAAAAGGTAAAATACCATCAAAATCAAATAAGAAAACACATGTCTGAATTCATGAAAATTCACTAGCCAGTCGGGCCAGTGACTGTGGAGATTTACTGGCCCGACTGGAGTTTTACTGGTCACGGGCTAGCGGGTCAGTGGCTATTTCGCACACTGGCTATGAGGCAAAAACGTGACAGAAATTATATGAATCCATCGCTGAAAAGTACCAATGATACCATTAGACTACGAGAAGGCTAAAACACGTCCTGCCTTAAGGATAGCAATCGCCACTCAAGCAATTTGCATAACATTGTAAGCGAGTACTTGTTGTCAGACTCCACACCCATTACTAAACCAGTCATACGAAGTGCACTGGACAAGAGCAAAACGACGATTTTACACAAAAATGTAATTTTAAAAAATCCCTTTGATCTATTTGTGTTGCGAGTCACCATGGCAGCAGTAGATTTAATCCCACGTTAAAATACACAGTATACCCATACCTCGTAATCCAATGTTTAAACTATCCTCGTTATAGTGTAAAAATACACCGTAGCTACTATGTAATCTTATGTTTAATCTGTCCTCGTTATAACGCAGATGGTCGGGGCAACACGACAGACAATGACATATAGTTGATGACTTCCCATGGCATGCCGAAGCCCCGACTTTCTGGTGAGCTAAATATCATAAGTTCAAATCAGTGCCGCTCGGATACTCTCACTGAGCTTGTCTGTGGCCATAACTACCTACATACCGGACACCTGCAAAAAGAAAACTACTTAAACAAAAAAAAACAAGACCAAAAGTAAAATGCTTAGAAAATTAAAGCATGCAGGACGAATAGAAAATCACAAAAGATAAGTTTAGACATTTTAATTTCAGTGATACGGGGGTTTATTTAAGTAAGTATATCGAGTCTGGACACAACACAATGAGCATCGATCTACGCAATTTGGACACGATGACACGTGCAAAGGTAGCGAGCCTGACCATCCGATCCCTTTAGTCGCCTCTTACGACAAGCATGGGTTGCTAAAGACCATTTCCAACCTGCATCTTTATGGATCGGTAGCTCCGTGGTGGCCTTGCCTATACTATACTCAGACAATGTACCTAATACCCTCAATAAGTACCTAAATTTGGCATACCGCTGTCCTTAGGTATAATTATAAGTTTATGAGCATTAATATATTCAACGAAAAGCATTAACAACCATCATAGTTATAACATGGTGGCATAGTACGTCTACTTACGATCCAACGACACGTAGAACCAGAGGTCCAAATCTGTAGAGAATCCAACCAATCACAGACGTAGCAATGCTCAACACCGACACAGCCACGGTAAACCATAAATTCAATATAGCGTCTTGTTCCTTACACGATGCAGGAGGAAGTTTTCCTGCACCATTGGCGTTCACCCCATGTTCAGTGTCATGTATGCTGTAAGAAGGGTAGCTTTGTGACGTGTTACCCTCCAATAAGGTATGTTCTAGTTCTCTATCGCGTATACTCTCGTGTCCAAGGGAATTTGATACGTTGCTGCCTGTGGATCCATTAGCTGCAGGGTGATTACACAGGAATGAGTATATACCTTCTTGCTTGAATACATACACGAGGGAAGCCCAACCAAAGAACAGACCGCCGAACAGTAAACTCTCCACCACGCACCAGAGAGCGGCTACGAACCTAAACCGTAATACAAAGGGCAAGGACGTGTCCGCCATTTTGTGTCTTGAATCTTACTGTGGTCTTCTTAGAGATGCGTAGAGAAAATCACACTGCATCTGCAAAGAAGGAAATTGATTAAAATAAGCGGACAAGAAGGGTTGAAAGGTATTTGAGTGAGTGAGTGCGTCGGATTCGGTGCCGAGCGCTTTGAATAGTATTCCAGTCATATCAGTGATGCGGGAGGAGACTGACTGAGTTTAGCTCTTCGTTTGTTTGTTGTTTAACGTCACACTCGACAATATTTCAGCTGTATGGCGGCGGTCTGTAAGTAATCGAGTCTGAACCAGACAATCCAGTGATCAACAGCATGAGCATCGATCTGCAAAACTGGGATACAATGACATGTGTCAACCAAGTCATCGAGCCTGACCACCCTATCCCGTTAGTCGCCTCTTACGGCAAGCATGGGTTATTGAAGATCAGTTCTAACACGGATCTGCACAGGTTGGAGAGACTGAGAAGGGATCGAAGAATATTAGAGTGAGTGAGTGAGTCGAGCGCTTTGAACAGTATTCCAGTCCAAGCACGGCGTGTCAGGAAATGGCGTGCGGAAAACCCTAAGTTATGCAGGTCAACACTTTGGTGGATCCCACACGAGCGGGTATGGTGCACAGCGCATACGATACGCATCACGAAACACAGGTCACGATACGATACGCATCACGAAACACAGGTCACGATACGAATACGTATCACGAAACACAATTTCGCGATACTCAAGTCAAATGTGGAATCAAGTGAGTGAGTGAGTGAGTAAGTATGGTTTTACGCCGCTTTTAGCAATATTCCAGCAATACCACGGCGGGGGACAACAGAAATGGGTTCACACACATTGTGCCTAAGTGGGGAATCTAACCTGGGTCTTCGGCGTGACGAGCTGACGCTTTCAAGAGGAAACGTTTTTGACTACTAGTATATATATTAGGCTCCAAAGGAAAAGCTAGTGGCAGACACATTTTCATCGCAGCTATTTCTAGTAGTAAACATTAACCGTTAAATACAAATCATGTTGCGATATTAGACTAACACAATATGTGTTAGGGTGTCATTAAACGGAAGTATTTTAGCAAGGGTATCGTATGGCATCGATAGAGTAAAAACGAATCGTGTATCGTATCGTTGCATGAAAAATTTCATCCCTTGTTGTGTCCTATAGCTTCACCATTGAGAACTAGGACATACCGTCGTTTAAGCATAAGGGACTAAGGGATGTTTCCACAAAGTGACACACTGATATAGCACCGGGATATATGAAACGTGACGGTAATATGTCATATGAACGCCAATTTCTTGATAATTGCACAAACACCCATCAGCAACTTACTATGTTCGTTCGTTTGTTTGTTTGTTTGTTGTTTAACGTCACACTCAGCAATATTCCAGCTATATGACGACGGTCTGTAAATACCCGAATCTGGACCACACAATCCAACAGCATGAGCATCCATCGATGCAATTGGATACAATGACATGTGTCAACTAAGTCAACCAGGTCGGGGGTTGCTTAATACCAATTTTAACCCGGATCTTCACGGGTCGAACCCAGAGGGCGTTCCCGACGTGACGTCGTGTTCCTGACAAAGACTGAGCCAGACAATCCAGTGATCAACAGCATGAACATCGATCTACGCAACCTTCTATGTATTGCGGGGCGGTGGGGTAGCCTAGTGGTTAAAGCATTCGCTCGTCACGCCGAAGGCCCAGGTTCGATTCCCCACCTGGGTACAATTTGTGAAGCCCATTTCTGGTGTCCCCCGCCGTGATATTGCTGGAATATTGCTAAAAACGGCGTAAAACCATACTCAGTCAGTCAGTCTATGTATTGCATTGGGTATAGCATATCCTTGAGATCGTTAAAGGAATTGCTGGATTCGTTCTCAGAGACCAGATTGAAAAGACAGCTGTCAAAAAGATGGAAGAGGCTCAAAACAATTTTTTAAAGCGTTGTCGAAATCGACAGTGATGTAGCATTGTTCGTGTTTGGACAGACATGCTACCTTTGCGTTCGAAGATCCAGGCATATGGCATATTTTGAATTGATGGTTCAATTATTATTATTTCATTGAGACACACAGGTGCAAGAATATGCATATAAGCATGTAACTGATATGAACAATACACAAAGAGTAAACTGTGGCTCCTAATGATATTCACTCAACTCCGACCGGGACAATGTTTGTTTGTTGTTTACAGCCGCAGGTCTGCGAGCCCGACCACCGATCCCGTTAGTCGCCTACAAGCTTGGCTTGGTGAAGACCAGTGTGAGTGAGTGAGTGAGTTTAATTTTAAGCCGCGCGCAGCACTATTCCAGCTATATGGAGGCGGTCTGTAAATAATCGAGTATGGACTAGACAATCTAGTGATCAACAGCATGAGCATCGATCTGCGCAATTGGGAACCGATGACATGTGTCAACCAAGTCAGCCAGCCTGACCACCCGATCCCGTTAGTCGCCTCTTACGAAAAGCATGGGTTTCTGAAGGCCAATATTCTAACCCGGACTTTGGTGGTGAAGACCAGAGCAATGTATAGTATTTAATGTTTTCCAAGAAAGCGTGATATCCTCATAAATAAATAAAAAAGAGTTTAAAATATCACCAGAAGCCATATTACTCGTCATAAAAATGAAAATTATATTCACCAGCGTAAAAAAACAGTATATTTACATGGCTCGGAGGCAACGGAGTTCGTTTCATCTAGAGTAACCGCCCTAAGTGCAACCAACTCTCCTTCGGTTCGGCTGCCATCGTCAAACCCAAACTAAACAATATGAGCGACACTGTGGTCGTGACTGATGCTAACATAAGATTTTCATGCCACAGCATGTCAATTGTTCGTCTGAAGTGAAGCGGAACAATAATATGGCATGTGCTGCACACTAAGTCTTGAATTACTACGCTTCACCACCGTGCACCACAAAACAGCCTTAAATCGGTTGTTCAAGGTTTCATGATTCTTCCAAATATTAAAACTGAAACAGTTTTAACGGGGAACTATTTTGTGCAAACGCTTTGTATTATTGCAGTGGCTCACAATGTGACTTCACCGGCTGTATAGAAGTCTCGAAACGGTGGTATCAAGTTGAATATGATAAAAATACAATGCTCGACTGCGGCATACGAGGTTGAGGTTACACAAACGCCGTCTGAACCGAAAAATGATCGATACAGATATGATTACCTTGTCGGGAAGAACTTAGTATCGTAACTATAACAACCAACTTTACTGGATATACACAAATTAATAACAGGTGCAAAGCTGTACTCATGAGATTATGGCCAACTACCAAGAAAGTATGTTTCAAGTTATTTAAACCATACTTTACCTTACTCTTACTGAGTAACACAGACACACACGTCAAGTGATTTAACACACACAAAAGGAACACCCGAACATAGACCGGAAAGGCACTCAAGGTATTGAGCGCAAGGAAATGAGTCATTTGATTCAAATAATCTTGGCCAGTTTTTACGTCAAAAGTATTCTTACAAGGATCTGAAAATACATGTTCAAGATAACTTAAATTTTGCGGCATCTTCTTTCAGAGAGACTACTCGAAACAGTGATAACAGAAAATGTTTAATAAAAGCAATCATTCCAATCGTAAACAAACATAAATGACCAAACCATAAACAACGCTATGTGTACTCCACTTAATTACGGATTCAGCATTTTATAAATGTCCGAACGGTGTGAATAAAATCGCCAAAGGAATATATATTCCTTATATAACACAGTGACCTCCGAAAGAACATTTCAGGATGTATGCTCACAATACATTGGTCGAACTCTTAAGACGTGAATACAAAAACATGAACCGCGGTCCACATTTGAAACCAGTTTGTGCAGATGATAAGTAGCGGGTCGTCAATAATCTATCACAGTACTGCACATAATGGACCGACCCATCTGCCAAATACTCGATATGTGTACAGTTAGCGTGTACCTGAGACACTCACTTACCTGGGTGATCCAAAATGAAAATACAACTCACACAACTTCTGTCAAACTCCAGCATATAATAATGATACCAATGCGCGCAAGCAGCGCCTGCTTTTGTGTGAGGCTAAGCGACAAAGCCGTGTAGATCCTTCCCAACACACGGTTGACCTACCAATGTAACATGGCCGGCGATAGGTAACGCCGGCAGTGGGGATATATAAGGACACGGTCTACGTAGTACAGCTGTATGGTGAACGCATTACACCTTGAACCAGAAAGACCTTGCTGTGAATCGATAGTACTGCAGATCCTTGTATCCAAACAAACGGTGGGAGATGTAACCAACCGACCAGTTCACGTTCGGTCAGGCGGAAAGGAGAGTATATACATATTCCTCGTTACAGGGCTATAACTTGTTTATCATAATGGGGGTCGTCTCAAAACAGGTTATGGTAAAGAAAGTCGTTTGTATCCCATATGCAATGACCTAACCGGTTCTTCGTTATATATTTGATGACTTCGACGGATTGTTTGGTGGTAACCTAGTGGTTGAAGTATTCACTTATCAATTTGAAGGTATGGTTTCGATCCCCAACATGTGAAAATTGCTTAGATATTGCCCAAATCTGTTTAATAAATATTCTTAAACAGATCTGGGCAATATCTTAGCATTTTCTATTGATTTCCTCTGTTATTGATCATTTTGTTGTATGCACGAGGTGGTACGGTTGGGGTGATTGCATGTTACAGATCCAAACTCTGCGGATCGATGCTCATGCTATCCGTCCGTGGATCGTGCGGGTCAGGTTCGATCATTTGCAGACGTCGTCGTATAGATGGTAAATTTTGCTGAGTGTGTGAGTGAGTTTTATTTTACGCCGCTTTCACAACATTCCATCAATATCACGTTGGAGGACACCAGAAATGATCAGATTCTTTACACATTGTACCCTTGGGGGAATCGTACCCGGGCCTTCGGCGTGACGAGCGAACGCTTTAACCAATAGGCTACCGCACCGCCTCTACTGAGAGTGATAACAACACCAAACAAGAACAGCAGACAATGAAACCATATACACAAATACACGAACATTGGCGTACCAGCTGTGATGTC